TTTTTTTTTTTTTTTTTTTTAATTTGGGGCAGAATTCTTCTTTGATAAAACTTCTTGTCTCTTTATTGTGTGAAGAAATGCATTTGTTTCTTCAGTTATTCCAAAATAATTTTTGATCACTTGGTAATAATCCAAGATTGCAGAATTTAAACAGTGTGACATACAGTATGCATAAATGACTTAGGTTGATGTGTCTTAGGTTGGTGTCAGCAGTATGTGCTTGCATCCATTTAACCCTTTAAGGTTCGGTGCATAAAATAAATTTATTTTGAAAAAATAACTTTACACATAGATAGTTAACTTCTAATAGGATGTTATTTCATGCAAAAAAAGCAGGTAAACTGTTAAGGTAATTCATGATGTGGTGGGATACCGTTTGTCCCGCCGTGCATCTAGAGCATTAAAATGGGCATCTTTGCCTGAATGTAAATTCTCCTAACATGCTTATCTAAAGTGCTAGTTTTAGCAACAAAATGAAAATGCAAGACATAAAAAACGTTTTTGAATAATTATCTAGAAAATATTGATCATATTCGCAAAATAAAAAATATTTTTTCAAAAAAATTGCATAATTTTTTAAAAAACCGCTCTCTGTATGACTTTTTAGATATTTTTTTTATGTTTTCATAATAGATTTGAAACAGAGAAGATTTTCTCTCCAGTACTTTATTTGCTAAAGGTTTGAGAAGGAAGATATTTAGAAGGACGTCATGTTTATTTACATTTCACCTCTCTTTCCTCTGCTTAGGATACTTTTCTATTGGTGAACCACACTGACAATTCCATTCAGTATTCAATGACATTTCATGTTACAAAATTATATTTTCATTTCTTTCAGAAAAATACTAACTATTTTTCAAGTTCCAACATTATTGCAATTTATTAAAAAATATAAATTTGCATTATCAACATATAAAATGAACATAATACTTGAACCAAAGAACATCTACATATTCTTTGCTTGAACTTAAAAATATTTGAACAGTGCTACCCATCTAGTAGCAGCAATTCCTGCATGCACAGTGGGATGTATCTGCCCCACTTTTTTATTTCATCCATTCTTAATTAATATATGTGAATTCAAATAATAATTTTTATTAGAAAAGGAAACTTTCACATAAAAATATTCATTCTAACACCAAAAGTTGTTGTTTGGACGATTTAAATTGCATTAGAAATTCAGGAAAAAAACTGCATCAAAATTAGACCTGCAAAGAAATTTTATTTTACATTATTTCAATGAATGAATACTTGTGCTGCCATCTGTTATACATTTAGAGAACTAAAAGATGTATTTTAAATGGAATTTTGCAGCTTTCATCTGGGAGATAAAAACTGAGAAAAAAAGTGGGATGCCCGCCCGTCAAAGGGTTAAGCTCATAACACGAGTGCAGTCATAACCTCGTCTTTTAAGATATTTGATGTCCAGACCTAGATCTTTCAAAGATTTCAGAATTGCCTATTAAATACTTCGTGCAGTTGTAGAAGTAAGATGAATGTAATGTAAAAAGGGCTTGCTAATCTTCATGTGCTACTAGTCGAAATACCTAAAGCAGAAAGACGTTTGCTCGATAGTCATAACATCAGTTCTGTCATCAGTCAAGACTGAGTAATATTTTAATTTTTTTACTTGTTGTGTATGTATTGTATCAGAGAATTGTAGATTTCAAGTATTTTATTTTAGATCATAAAACTTGTATATAGTGCATTTTCTTAGCAGTTCATTGATGATCTTCCAAATATTTATCTCTAGAATGAATAGAAATTTGAAGATAGACCTAAAATTTCCTTCACTTTTAGGGAATAAGTTACTTAAATCATTTGGCCCTGATCCTTATGCCTGCATAATGTCAAACCTTGTTTTCCACATAGTATTATGGTTTTTAATATGGGCTTCAGTCACTTTTGATTCTCTCAATTTGTTTTGATCCAATAGAACATTCTGCATATCTTTGTTGTGTAGTTGTCTTAAGTTGGTGAAAATGAGTTTTTATGAAATCTAAGGGTTATGGCTATTGAAATCTTGAAAAGCACATTTCCATTTTTTAAATCCTTGTATTAAACAGCCATGGAAATACATATCGAACATAATGTATAGCAAAAAAATATACAATTTTTGCAGTATGCTTCATCTTCTACTTTAGAGTATGCCGGCTGGCATTACTTTCTGAACCATGCATACTGAAATCTTCTGGAGAGCTTTTTGCCTGAAATGCAACTTAATGGAAACTCATAATTTTTGGACAGCTCTTATGTAAGTGTGAGCTTTTTGCAAGGTTTTTGGTTTTGCCATTATCATGATGTCATTATCATCTATACTTAAATTTTGAGAACACTCATAAACTCTCCTCATTATTTTATTGTTATCATCAGACTGAAACTAGATATGCCATTACCCAACACTGAAACACAGCTATCTACTACCAGTAAGAAACTATTATGATCACCACCACTACTATTCTCGATTACTTCGGCCTCCAGCATATGTTCGTTTTTCATTACCCTAAAAAAATTCAGCAAAGAAGCTTTTCTTCTTTTTTCCTTTTTTTTTTTTTTTTTTTTTTTTTTTTTAATTTCAAATAATAATTATAATATGCCAATATGTAATACTCGTGTAGAAATTTATATTATCACTAAATGAAAAAGTTAATGATTGAGGACACTAAGTAATCATAATAATTTAAACCACGAGCCCGCCCGATTAAAGAAACCTTTCTGAAAACACCCCTATTTTTCTCAAGTGGTTGTGTTTAGTAAATTCTCTTCCGAGGCCATCCTCTTTATGTTTCCGAGATTTTTCGTCAGAAATTTGATTCAAAGTTTCGTTTTGATCGGATTGGGTCTTTCAAACCCAGCACGCCTATTCGCATTGCTGTTGTACACACACAAACATATATATAAAACCGATATATTGTGTATTTATTATAAATTTGAATTTAACAAATATTCTCTCATTCATATAAAGCTAATTTAAATTTTAGATTATGAAAATTTAATTGTATATAAACAAAAGATTAATTATTGCTGTGAACTAATTTGCAATATCATTTAAATTCAGAGAGCATATGTAAATTAAGTGCAAGTATATAAAACCATGAAAAAATATTTAATAATCCAAAAAATTAATCCTAAAAATTTAAAGAATTTTAAAACTAAATTAATTTGCATGAAGTGAATAATTGTTGAACAGGCAAGAGACAGATCTTTTCAAGAAAAAGTTGCCTCCAAACCTAACTCTTCAATTACCCAACTCATGTTTCATCATCAGTATAGCCATGGGTAAAGTATTATTCAAAACCAAAAGTAAAAACAAAATATAGTGAATAGATATATATGTATATATGAGATATAAAATATGACATAAAACTACTAATTTTAAATTAGCAATAGTTTTTGTAATTCCTCATTTTAATTTGGCTATGTCCCTATCCTCTCTTAAAAGTATTAATATATGAATTTAAAGTGCATCATCTGAAAATTAATCCTCATGATGCCATTTTGTAAGACTGGCAATCCAGATAATTTTTATCTAATTCCAGTTCAAAATTTAAACAAAAGAACCAAGTTTATAAATATGGCTGTTACTAATTGCTTACCTTTTTTTTTTTTTTTTTTTTTTACTTTCTTTGCTGCTGTACTTAGACATGTCAGTTGTCTTTGTTGTGTACTGTCTAAAGAAATGAGAGAGATATATATATAATTGTGGGGTGCATATTGCCAGGGCCGGATTTAGACTTGATAAGGCCCTAAACTGTTTGAGATAAGGTTCCCTTTATAAATCCAGATATTATATATCAGTGCCAAATATGATTTTCGGCTAGAGCTTTTTTTGAGCAAAGCGGCGCCCATAAACTATAGCTTGTGTACCTTATACATAAATCTTTCACGGCATATTCCATTCACCAAAACATCCGTAATGATCTGTAAAGAATAATATGTGTCTTAAAAATTAGTTGTTGAGAAATAAAATTATGTGTTAAAATTATGGCCATGTCTGTCTTCACATGTCATCTTTCTAACTACAAAGTAAAGCCTCTCCATTTATTACAATGCAAAGAATCATCACCAAAACATTGCAGCTATTCCCTTTTCATCCCACTACACACACACATATATATACAAAAAGAATCATAGTAATTGGTCAAAAATAAAAATTCATTTATATATACACACAATACAGACAATCATATTACTATCATAAAAGCTTGGTGTATTAACAACCAGGTTGAAAAGATTACTGAATTGTAATTATGGATTTAGCTCTTGTTAGCAAAACACATCTGCATTGACTCTTTTTTTTTTTTCCCCTTTTTTTTTTTTTTTTTAATGTATCTTGTATAATACAAGTGTAAACTACGTTCCTTCTGATATTTCATGAAAGTGTCTTTTTTTAGACAGGTAATCTGTAAAATACTTTGCTGTAATAAATTATCTATTCATCCTTATTATCTTTTTCATTTCATCTAATACTCGAATGTTCATTATAAATTTTGTTTTAACAAATGGAACAATTTTAACATGTGATAAAATACTTGAATATTGTACAATATGAGCCTTTTGTTTATTATATCACAGTATGAAGCCATCCAGTATAAAAAAATAACCTAGAAGCTTTCTTGTGAATGAAATTGTATGTTTTATAAAAAATAAAATCTATTTAATGCAATAATTTCATCTATTGTTATTTTCCCACAGAAAATGTCTGACTTTTCTAATAAATTCAGTAATCTAATTTCACATTTCTGCTTTAAATCTAATTTTTATTACATAGCATCGTATCATTGTAACAATACAGGCTTTAAAAAATCACAGACAGACAACTAGTGATTCTTATATGTAGTTTAAATTGTTTGTTTTTATGTAAACACAGGCTAGTGATGTATTATATAGATATATTATCTAATAATCTTTCTAATACTATAATGGTGTTTAAATCTTAACATCAATAAATATTACTGAATATTATAAGGAAAGTAAGAAAGTTAATTTCTCAAAAATTATACAGTTTAAAACCCTAATATTCATCACTTTGGGGATGGTAATGTATTATATACATTCAGATTTATTAATATAATATATTAAAGACACCTAATTTGCAGATTTTCATCATGCATTATAGTTTAACAAATCCTGATCTTGGAAATGGACACAACATAAAGCATTTTGTAAAACCTACTTAAAAAAAGATAAAAATTAATTACATTTCAATAGGCATAAACATGTTAGGAAAATAGGATACGTATATTCTTTTTAAACATAGTTTCATATTTGAAGAAAAAGTATGGTTAAAAGTGATTGTTGCCTTTTTTTATTACAGTTCTGTTTTATTGAGATAAATTTCTTTTCCCAAATTTCATTTTAAAGTTATATTTCATTAGCAAAGAAATTTGATAGTAATTCGAGTAAGTAAATTAGACTCTTCCCGCTTATTATAAAAATAAATATTAAGCTGTTGTTTCATTAGAATAATTTTGAGATATAGAAAATATAACCTAATTTTCTCCTCCACAAAAATTTTTTATTTCAGTCATGTAATTAAAAATTCAAGATTTTACAACTGAAAGCTTCACATTCATCCTTTTTTATCTTATTTATTTTTCAAATGGCTTAGAAGAAGACTGGATCGAAAACTAGTGGTTTGCTTTTGACCAAGCACGAGCAATTGAACTCATGATTAAAAATGAAGAGAATAATTCATCAAATTTTATGCAATATGTCCTAAAGATAAATCACTTAGTGAAAACAAAAAATGTATGTAATAAAAATTTAACATAAAGTATATACCATAACATAACAAAAATTTAAAATTTAAATAGGCAGTACTATACATATATATATTTATTTAAATGAAAATTTCTTCTTTCATAATATATTAAATATTTTACAGATTCCATTTGGAAAAAAATATTGATTTTGAAAATAAAATTTAAAATTATCTTAAGCTAAATGTTTTCTTGAAGCATTTGTGGTTCTATATTAAATTATTGAAAAAAAATTTTAATTCATGTAGTAGTTTAAATTAATATTAAAGCTCCTATCTAGATATTAAAATAATCTAAGTAACTAATTCTGTGATGCAGTGGGATCACAGTGCAATTCTATGACTGTTTCCTATCAATATTTGAAAAATATATAAATTTTTGTATTTTTAAGTGGCAAATTCAACAGATATTTTTTAGTAAAAATAGAATTAACAAGGAAAAATTATTTGACTGTTAACTATGTATATGAAATTATTTGCTGTCTTTTGTAAATGAGTATATTATTAGACAAAAATGTTGTGGCAGTACCGTATTATTAACACAGCTTCTTATATCCTATTAAGAATTAATATTCGGGGAAAAAATTGTATTATTTCTGTTTAGATTGATTTTTACTCGGAAAATGTAAAAGATACATACCTTTGCATTAATTTTCAGAAAAGTACTTATTGATGTAAGCAAATCTAAGGTTAGTGAATTTTCACTTTTTTGTAAATACTATTTTAAATGTGCCGAATAGCTACAAAATACAATATTAATCTTTTGTGTGTAGAATAGCTTCAGAATACAACATTAATTAAAGTTGCATGTAAGTTCTTTTGGTAAAAGTTTACAATTGGGTGCCCCTTGTTTTTTTTTTGGCGATTCTTTTTTGACGTCAGGAAGGCATAATTTCAAGATGGCTGCTACACAAAACCAAAATAAAAAGTCAAATAATTGCACAAACTCGGTGTTTCATTTAAGAAGAATCAGGGAATTGTACAAACTAGGCATTGCGCACTGCCTTAACTTTGTCCATGTACACATCGATTTATTTTCACTTAAAAAAAATCAAGAAGCTGAAACAAAGTTTAAACTCTCGCGGTAACCAGAAATGGGGTTTCATCACCAAAACTGAATAAAATTTCTTGCTAATCGAAGGGGCACCCAATTCTACACTAGAGCCGTTCTTTTTCATTCTGTTAGTTTTGGCGATTCATAGAATTCTGTTAAATGTTTCTCAACGCAATTCTGTATACTGGACTTCATTGCATGTTGAATATGTCAAAATATTTTAGAAATAAATATTACTTTTTATACTCGATACATTATTTCTGGATCTTCTAGATTTTTAATTATAATAAAATGTAAAAGCAGTTTGATTCAAAATTTCGATTTCAAGAATTGCCTTTAAATCCTCAAATGATTTCATTATATACAGTTTAGAAATGCTGGTAAACTGATCTATCTGTACTTCTAAAAGATGTTAAATTTTTTATTCATCCCTGGTATAGGTACTTTTGTCAAAATTCCTTTTTGTAGTTTAGATGCACTTTTACCGATTGTATTCTTGACACCTGATGCGCCTTCTGCTATTACATTAAAAGGATCTGAGCGCGGAGATTCAGCAGAATAGCCCATATTCGAGACACATTGATTAGAATTATCTCTTTGTGGTGCTTTTGTCACAGTTTCTTTTGTTATTTTAGAAGAGCTTTGCATGAATGCATTAGCGACACCTGATGCCCCAGTTGTTACTAAATTAGAAGTACCTTTGATAACTGTATTTGTGACACCTAATGCACCTGCAGTTATTAAACTAAACGGATCTTGATTGGTAGATCCGGAAAAATTATCCTCATTCAAACAGGATCCTTTATAAAAGTCTGTCTGATTATGAGTTGGCATTGGCACTTTTGTAAGAATTTCCTTTGTTACTTTAGAAGTACTTTTGATAACTGTATCTTTGACAGCTAATGCACCGAATGACATTAAATCAAAAGGTCCAACCAAGTCGTCCAAAATGGAACTGGATTCATTAGAAATGTCTGTTTGAAATGGTACATTTGATAGAACTTCCTTTTTTATTTTAGAAGTACCTTTCTCGAGTGTATCTTTGGCGCATAACGATATCACTTTAAAAGGATCTTTATGGGAAGATCCAACAAAATCGTCCAACGTCGAATTGGTTTCATTAGAGCTGTCTGTTAAATTAAGGGTTTGAACAAATTCATTTCTTATAAGAATTGAAATAAAATAGGAATTAAGATCAGCATTATCTTCATCCTGCTTGCTTTCCCATATGATCTTCATTGTTGCAAACTTCTTACGTATCATGTCATTAATTTTCAGTCTCTTCTGTTCATTGGAAATTTCTGCTGCACACAGTTCTTTTAATTGACTGCAACCTTGAAACTGATCCAGCAGATAGGATATAGCAGTGATAAAAGAACCGTTATTAACTGTTATAGCTTCTCTCCTAGCTTGGAAGTACCTAAAAAGGAATTTAAAATCTCTCTGAAGCAGCGGAAATTTACCAGTAGCCATACGAGCCAGTTCGCTAATTTTAATAAAAGATTTGCCATTTATATCTATAACGAGTGAAGCATAGTCAAATAACATACTTTTTGTTTTATTACTGGTTACCTCATATTGAATGTCTTCATCTCTTTTTGCTTCAAAGTCTGCTAATAAGTAATCCCATTTGGTTAAATTATGGTTAAGTTCTTGAAGTATACCATTAATCCGATTTTCTTTTATACCTAACTGATTTGTTAGTCTCTCAGTTTTCTGATTTGTCGAACAGTAACTAAAACACCCATACCAAATTACCCTCGTCACGACTAAAAATACATTTCTTGCTGCTGTAGGGTAAACCTTTTCCGGGTTGAGATGTGGATTATTTTCTTTGAATTGCTTAAGTATGTCCACACGTTTTACATCATCACATTTAAAACTGCAATTTTTATTTTCTTTAGGTAACATTGAAAGTTTTATGAAAAGTTCTAAAGCATGTTTTAAACCTAAATTTAAAGACTTGAAAAACGCTAAATGTATGGCTGAATCTCCAAGGCATATGAAATTATTATTGCTCCTCTTTTTAGCATAACCACAGCTAATCTCTATTTTTTTCACTCTGACGCTGTTTAAATCAATAATACAGCCATCTAATATAAGATTTCCCAACAAAGAAGCTATTGGAAAGAAAATGCTATCAGGCACTGGTCTCGCACAATTAAAGGGATTCAAAGGTTCTCTTTTTATGTTTGGATAGTCTCTATCAAAATCACGAGCTAGTTCTTCATTTATAAAAACTGGTAATGTTACATCTGTAAGTCCACTATTTCCTTGGTTTTTGCTTACTACCACCTCAGTGAGTTTTACACTACTGATATATTTCATAGCTTGATACAGAGATATACCATTAGCCATTTTGGCTTTGAAATTGATATACATAGCATGCTGAAGGGGAGTGCTAACTATGTTATGTTCGTCAAGTCCAAATGCATTGATTCTTAGTTTGCTGTTCCTTCCAGTGCAATCTAATATTATTGGGTTTGAAGTTCTGTGCTTTTCGTATAATTCTTGAAAACTGTTCACTTCATATCTTATGTATTCAGCTCCAAGCGATTTAGCTTCTTCTGCACATCTTGTTTCTAAATCTTTTATAAGAATCTTATACCCTTGGTTTTGCAATTGCTTATTCAGTTTTGCAAAGAATTCATTTTCTATACCTAAACGGAAAACTGCCTTTTGTACTTCATTAAAAAAACCACTCTCTATTTTGAGATTTATATTTCGGGTAAATTGTTCGCGTTTTTCATAAACAGTTACTCTTAGATCTAAGAGTGAACAAAGTACAGCCATGAAAGACCCAACTGGACCACCACCTGCGATGATGACGCTATCCATTTTGTTTCAGATATATCTTCTGGCACTAACCGCACATTAAAATAAAATAATGAGTTTTGCTTATGCTGTCAGAGATTGTAAATTCACAAAAGAAAATAAACCAAGCAAGGTAAAAAGTTAATGTCTCACTTTTGCTGTCGGAGAAAGTATGTTGTTCATCAAAGTAATTAAGCAATACAAAAGGCTGGTAATCTTCAGCACAGGTAACAGACAAATTGAAGGGAGGACGAGGTTTTAAATTCAATATCAGACATATTATCTTAAGTATAATGGCAAACTGCCAGATCTAGCGAAACCGAATGCTGAGGGTAAGTGCTGCTGATAACGGTAATCTAAATGGAGAAGAAAATTCTCTCTGTTTTTGTTCGGTGATAAATGTATGGCACTGAGAATAAATAAAAGCATAAACCTGCATCCGGTCGTGTTTAATAAATATTTAAAGAAAATTATGCATAAGTAAAATTTGAATGGAAAATTAAATCAAACTAGAAAAAGTAAATAATTGGATAATTTAAAACAGTAAAGAGATATAGAGTTGTAAAGTAATATACTCGTACATCGTTTAGTCCATGAAAAAAATGATAAATTACCTGAATTTTGAAGAGTATTTAACAGTTTATCTGTGAAAAGAATGATTGCATGGAGTTTTCGTGGTTTTCTTTATGCTTTGTGTATGACGTGACTATGACCAATGTGAGATTTTCCACGAAAGCATTCTTTGTTTGGAGAGAACCCTCGCATGCTTTGCCATAATTAAATGAAGCAACTTAATAGCTTATGATGTACCGAATCTAAAATAGTTAAGTACGAATAACATTAGCATTTAAAGGTTTTTGAAAGTGTTTTATCGAAATATACTTAAATTATTTTTATTACGCAAAACTACAGTAGGGCTATACACTTATACGAAGAATTCCTTCGTACTGGCCTTTCTATGGGAAAATATCCGTATCTAAAGAAATTTTCATGCAGCCAGTCCATTCAGCTACCGGGTATGGAGCCTGAGATGGACCAGTAGTCATTCCTAAAATAACATGGTTAGGTAAAACAGAAATACAGCAAAAAGTCTCCTTTTGTTTAACATATTGAGCCTGAACATATAAAAGGACTTAATTATTATTTTTTATTAACATATAAATGTACTCTATAGTTATGAAATAAATTTTTAAAGCATAATATTATATTTCTATCTGTTTTTTAGACTATTGCATGCGTACAGATTCAAAAGGAACACTTCAGAGTCATGGAACTTTCCACTGAAATACTCGTACAGGTGTTCACAGTAACAAAGAGTACGATCAGTAGTTTCACTTCAAACTACTAAGAACGTTAAACACAATCAATGCAAAGGGCATCTAAAGAGCAAAGCTAACCCGGAAGATAGGCATATGAGGGCCGAATTGCGGTTACATCTAATATAGCGACCAGTTACGTAGATACAGGAACCGGACCATACGTCATACGGTCGCCAAGTTTGGCGTTTTCGCGCCAAATCTGGTGAAAAAATTAGTAAACAAAAACAATTTGCCAGCTTGGCGATATATCACCAAATTAGCGAGATAGCCATTTACTCAATGTTAAATAGAGTTGCATCTGTATTCTTGTTTTTCCGGCAGAGAATCCTTTCTCTGGATTTTCCATGTTACATTACAAAGAAAAAATACAACAATTTCACATATAACTGCGCAAAAATCATCTGTCTGTGTGCAAAATTCGTAAAACTATAATTGGTTTGCATTCATTTGAATACCCAAGGTTGACAAAGTATATATATATTCTATGCATTTAGATATAAACGGCGCTTAATGTTTTATGCAAAAGTATGTTTGCTAAACTGGATAACAACAGATTAAATAATAGTCATTCAAGGTATGTTTCATTTTAACCTATCTTTATGGGTACTTACTCGTATACTTTGGGTTACACGTAACCCAAATTTAAAAATCATTATCATTATACAAGATATCGCCGCAGAATCGAATGAATCACTGTGTTTCGATTTCCATGTTCAGAACATGCTTATAGAAAGCCACTGAATAAGTAAATATTTTATTCTTGTTTTTGCGGGTCATGAAGGGCTGAATTAAGACTTTTAGAGGACTTAAGCAATTCAAAGATTTTGGTGTCTTCACATATAATTACGACAGTTTTCTCCCACATTCCTTCTACTCGTTCTTAATTTCGCCATATATTTTATGGTGAAATTGGAAATGATAAATTTTTGTGCTGCCCCTTTTTCTAAGGTCTCTAAGTATCTTTTTTAGGTGTACCTCTTTTCTTGATGCCCTCAGCACGTGCATATTTTGCTTAGTGGTTAATCCGCCTCTTAGATCATATAGTGACTCAAACGTTGGTAAAAAAGGAATTAACTGCTGTAAAGAGATCATTGACGCCATATTCTCTTGTTTCGTGGTGGTGTTGATGAAGCATTAAGAAAATAATGCCACACTTCGTCGAATGAAAACGGTGAAAAATCTCTGGGTGAGTGAGCATATCCATCAGATCGTCTGTCCTGCCTATTCCTTAGGTATGGAAAGAACCTTAGGTACTTCAGAAAAAGTCCGACTTTGTGTCAAAATACCTATATTATAACAATGCTATATATATGTGTGTGTGTGAGTAGCAGGAGTACGAGAACGCAACACAACAAACGGTATCGCAGTGGGACGAATGATGGACGATGTAAGCGAAAGAAGAACAGTCATGTTTTCGACTAAGACGTAATAATAGACTACGAAGCTGTTAACTTCTCAATTATAACTCTTTTTTTCTATTTGTAAATAGTCATCACTGTATCTCCATCAATAACTAAATACTTAGTCACCTAAATGTGTGTCGTCAGCGTAGAATATATATATATATATATATAATGCATAGCCTAAGTCCCGCTTTCGAGACATGTAAAACGCAAGTTCAATTTCCTCAATCTGCTCAGTAGAACGGGAGATATAGAACTGGCTTGTTTTTTTTTCGCAGTGTACATCAATGTAAATTGCGATTTATGTTCAATTATGTACGTAAGATGTTCAGATGATGAAATAGATGAAAGCATTTATAAGCAAATGACCTTTAAGTGCTGTCCAGATGGTATTGGGATTAGTGAGGCTGACTGCCACACCGATGGTCTGGGTTTGAATCTCGGGAAGGTATAGATGTCCGTAAGCTTGTAGTTTCTGTGCGGCAAGGGGGCACTCAAAATATACGGCGAACCGAAAATCCTTTCGAGAGGTTATTGGTAGGGAAAGAATGGAGGGAAATAGTTAGATCGCTTCCGTTGTGTTCTCCTTCAAAATTAGAGTGGAAACGTAACAGTTTGCTAGTTTCAGCAGTACTCAATCACCTATGGTACTGCAGAGGTGCTGACCTACCTAGCTTATACCTGTATCTATCTGTGCTCTCAAGATTATTTTCAAATATAAAGTTTTCTCGATTACATACCCTTATTACGGAAGGTCTGTTAAACGCTCTTCTAAAATCGCATGATTACTACATCGGCTATAGGAAGCAAAGCCATATGGACTACTAATTGCAAAGAATCATTTAAAGTATTGGAGAGAGGACTTTACCAGGACTTGACAGTTTAAATAGGATTTTATTCTCGATATGAAGGCCAAAATGTCACCTACATTCATTGACAAAACTTCTGTTGTGTATGCTTCAAAATTCTACATACTTCTGTTCTACCTATTTAAATAAGTCTAAAAAAATTAAGATTCATTAAAAAAAAAGAATTAATAGCTATTGCTTTGAAATATCATGTCTATTACAGCAAATTCTTCTTACACATCGGCTATGTCTTATCGAATTGGCTACTTGATTTCAAAAAATTCTGAAGCCCAAGTAACCAGATTGGAGATTCATTACCTCAATGTAGGAGCAGATTAGGCTGGTCTGACTGCCAAATTGCACAAAAAAGTGCGGCATTTTTTTCCAAAATACAACAGTACCCGGTAATCCTATACAGTTCATATCTTGAATGCAACCTTCATCAAGAAGCCGGGACGCCCGTATGAAGGTTTCCATTTCAACGAACACTCGGCGACTTGCATAAAAGTGCCGAGATATTTATGACGAGCATCATTATGAAGTCGATGGCGTGGGCGCTCATGAAAATACCTGACTTTTATACTAAGAAATAAATAATTGGATCCAGTAGTTATAAAACTGTGGAGGGGTTAAAAGAACTTGGAAGTATACACGAAGAAAATTTATACGATGAATCTCGTACGTTGGCCATTAATTTATCCTTTTGGGGGGGAACATCGTTAAATCTTTTTCTTCCAGTGAGTGTATGGTTTATTGCAGCATGAATACTACGGTTATTATGAGTTATGTTTCCTAAGTTTTTAAACTATCGACATTAAGTGACGAAGCAGCGCTGTGCCCATCGGCCCGTTGGAAAATTTCTGGATTTCCGATATCCTCATCCGCAAAGGATCTTCGTGTGGAAATGCTGATGCAATCTCGACGCTATATTCTGTACCGTAAGTGAATTTCCGAGATGGAAAGTAATCAGACCAATGGTCTTTTAAATATTCATTTTAAAATTTAACAAAGATTTCTGGGTTAGATATAAGTAAAACATCATTACAGTACAGCAATAATAGACAAATCTTCCGCTTATTGCGGCTCAGACAGTCGCTTGGTGCGACATCTCCTACGGCATTTTTCTAGATTAAAGCCTCTTCCTTTCCTTTTACGTTTTCGTCGCAAGGAACGTTTCGTTTCCTTTGTTGATTACTTTCTGGTCATTCAGTGGACTTAAGGAGTTGTTCCCATGAGAACGGAAAGCCCTCTAATTTAAACCTTACGTTTCTTCAAACCTGAGGATCGTTATAATGTAATAAATATTGCTCGAAAGCCGAGAGGGGAGAGTGATGCAATATGTGCATGTGGAACACGAAAAACGCCGTTAAAAGGTGTTGCGCTACAATTTAGAAATACCGCTTCAAAGATAAGCTTTGTATATTCTAGGACAATTACACTAAATTATTAATGCCAATAGATACTGTTGCTTAAGAAAATATTACAAAGTTCACAAAATTCAGACGACACTTCGCCATTTGCTATTCTACAAATTTTTAAATGCAACTATTTTTAAAACAGGAAAGAATGCACTACTTTTTAAACAGATGCATTACGCAAAATAATGCATCTGCGCACGTGATCCTCGTAACAGACAAATTCATTCTGGTTGCCACAAATACAATGGCCAGAAAAATATTCTGTTCTTGATCAAAAAGCTTCAACTGTTGCAGAATTTCTGGGGCAAAGCTTCCGGGCATTTCAAATTTGAAATGCCTTTCTTCTTTACAATAAAAAAACAACCAATTTCCTTCTTGTTTTTAAAGGATTGTGACAAATTATTGACGTCAAAAGACAAAAACAACTGCTTTGCATTCAGAAGTGTACCATTTTAATTGGATGATCTTGGATCACTATTTGTTTGAGTAATACCAGCTACAACTCAACTCTGTTTAAGTTTTATGTTTTGAAAATAAGTTCTATCGTTTCTGTATAAATAACTGCTTCTAAATTTTTTGGAAATATCTGCAATTAAAGTGTTTTTTCATATTAAATCCATAGTTATTTTCGAAGCCTTTAAAATATTGGCGTCCGTGGAACAGGACTATGGATAATTTAAAACGGGAAAGAACACAATTACTGCGATATTTCACAACGATATTTCTTTCAAAGAATGACAGAAGTGGACACTGTTCTAAAAGATGAAGCAGTAAGTAAGATTGATTTTATATCTGTATTTAATATATTTAGCGATAAAGCTGACAGATTATTTCAGTTAGATGAAAAAGTTAAAGTAAAATGGCCAGAAATGGAAAATTTTAATGAAGATGAATTTTCTAATGATATGGATTTAACGGAAAGCTATCATCTTGACACTCGAGAATAAAATACGATCTGTGTGTGTGTGTGTGTGTGAAATCAGTGGGTTGCTATGAAAACGAAAGTGGATTTTATGTTACCAACCACTGAAAGAAAGGGCGATATTTCCAGTGTAGTAAATGAAACCAAGCGAAATTTCCGTCTTCCTAAGTTAGAATTGAAACGTTTTGATCGTAATATTAAAAACTGGCTAGGATTCTAGGGACAATT